TATTAATTGAGTCGGTATAGGCCATTTAGTTTTCTGCTTAATTTTGTAGTGTTGTGCTGTACTGATTTATTAATGATTTTCTCTTTTATTCACCCGTACGAATAACAGGTATTCAGCTAGTAATAATATCAAATGAACTTCGTTTATAAAAATTTGAATGTTGAGTAAATGACTTGAAATGCAATGTAAATAAAACCCATTTTAAAAAAAGCAATTGAAATACACCACAGAAATAATTTGCATATTTCCTTGTTTTCTTCCTCATTCGCCTTTTTCGTTTGTAAGATTTTTTCCTTTTGCGTAAATAAATGGTAAAAATATTGTCACCTACAGATTTTTATTTCCTCTACAGATGGTGTGTTGTTTGCATTTACGAATAAAAATTTATGATATTTATTCTTATTTACCATCTAATTCTAATTAGAAAAATAGACTTAATATGACATATTATAATCTTGTATTGTATTTACAAGACCTTTACTTTTTTTTATCAAATTTCATTTCAATAATCATAGTTCAATTTTTGGTCAAGAAAATTTATGAGAGTAATTAATGGAATAATGAAATCTTACTATATTATATTGTCTTAATTATTCTTAGAAATATAAAAAAATGTAAAAGAATAATAATATGCTGGATAAACATAGACAGCTTTTGAATAAAATTAAAAAGGACTCAAGAATGTAATTTTGAAAATTTCTAGGAATTTAAAANAAAAAAAAAAAAAAAAAAAAAAAAAAATCTCAAACAATCCGGTTTATTTTCAGATATATACCGGTTTTTCTCCCCCTTTGAAACCGCACCTGTGTCTAGGGCATTTTATATTGAACTAATAATAGATTTATTCACCATCTATCGCAAAACCTACAGAAGATCTTGCTGTCTTCTTTTATCTCACAACAGAACTTGATTATTTTTGTTTCAATCATTCCTCCTAAACGCATTACTCCTTTGAATTCGTCTTGATGGGCCTTCAGGAAATTTAAACATCTTAATTCCAGTTAACAAATTAGTGCTTTAACAAATAATGCGTCCCGCAGTGGACTGATCGTTAAACGACGATTCGTAATAAAACACCTAAGTCAAGCATCACTGGCCGCCGTCAGTGAGTTAGTGGTTGACAACTTTGATCAGCCCTTGTAGGGACCGAGGGTGCGTGATATATGTCCTCGTTAAACTGTTCGACAGTGAAATGCTAGACTTTACATGCAGATCGGAGCGGAGAAGTGAAGGAGTCATCTTTTTTGCAGGGAATCAAAATTGTGATGGCATGTTTTCGAATTATCCTCAGGGATGTTTCCCAGACCGTCACCAACAGCTCTTTGGGCAGCTCAAGTGCGACGTAAATAAAGTACCTACGACAATTAATAGTGCACCCAAAAAGAGAAAAATTGCCTCAAATTTTTTGCCATCGAAAACAAATAATTATATCTAAAAATAAAATGATGTAAAAATAGAAATCAATCAAAGCAAAGCTTCTATCGAAAGTTGAACCTCTTCAAATACTGTCCTTTTCTGTTGATAACACGAAGCACTATCAAGAATAAAGTCAATTGCACATTATAAATCAAACTTTGATGCATCTTCCAGAATTGATTTCCCTTTTATTTGGTTTTTAGGAAAATTAGCTAAAAAAAATACCTAATCGAAAGCTGAATGGGCAACTTTTCATTCTCACTAACGCAATAGCGCGCACACGCCTCAAAGCTCCTTGATGACGTATTAACCGCAGGCAATTCAATCCTGTATCGTTTAATATTTTCAAACAACTCAACTCTATGTTATGCTTTCGCCCCTGTCACTATAGAAACGACGAATATAGCAGTGCCTTCCTTATTAATTACTGTATTTATTATCGTGATTTTATTATTATTTATTAAATCTAATGAGCTTTAATTTATTCCATAAAGATATTGTATGATATCGACGGAAATTCAAAGTGCGTTTAGCTTGTATTTCTATGATTTTTTTACCTATTAGTGTTCTTTGTCCATATTGTATGAACATAACAAATTAGGATATTTTTGAGCGTTTAATTCGAAAAATTTTCCTGTACTATTGCGGTTAAAGGATTCTGATGAATGAGGTTACTAATATTTTTGACCAATAATTATTCGATCGCTTTTTTTTTTTTAAACTTAAGAGTAGTTTTGTCATATCTTTTTTTGCAACAAGTCCAATATTTTATAATTTTGTGTTATTTTGCTTGTTTATAAACGAGCTATCGCTTTAAAATATTTATATATTTACTGCATGAGGATATGCATGCACTTAATAGCATACAATAGTGCGTGTTTGTTAATAAAATCGATAATTTCATCATATATTTTATAAATTGTGTTCATTGCTGCTTGTTGTATTCAGTCGAGCTACTTTTAAAACTTTCGATCTTTGAAATGTGTTTTGAATAAAACACGTTGTTTGATGTGTAAATTTTGGTGGAGATTTTCTACTAAGTTTGGAAAAGAGGCGTAGTTAAGTTTAACAGCAATTTTTGTTTCGTTTTTGCGTAGAATAAATTTTTACAACTTTTCATAATCATTTTAAAAACGATTAACTCGATGACTTTCCAAATTTTCATTCGATTATGTTTTAAATTGAGAAAAGTGTGTTACTAATGCAGTTTCTATTCTTAAATGTTTCTGATTGTGTTTATTGTTTTTTTATTGATTGATGAGCGTTTTATCTAAAGACATTTTACAGTCAACATATCGCTAATTAAATTTTTTATAAGAAACATAACTTTAAGAAAAACACGCCATGCAGAACAAATAACAATATCAATTAACACCCTGTTCAAATTTTAGTTAAATTTAATAAAAATTTGAAGAAGTTATGGGACCTGCGATCAACAAATGAAACTGAGGATACTAAAAAGAAAAAAGTGTTTCTCTGGAATTCATTTTTAAATATTTTTCATGAATTTAGCAGTCCAATAAGGCTGGCAACTGAGGACACATATCCCCTCTTGACTCCATTGAGTACACCACTATTTAGAAGTCAGTAATTATCAGTGTAAATAACAATCTATATATTTCTAAAATCCTCTGTTGCATGCACATCTTATTTAATTGCTTACATTATATCTAGTAGTGTAAAAAAGCAGCTCTACAAACTTCATTTCGAATAAACAGTTATTGTTACATATGCATTCTTCAGTTAATTGTTATTGCTGTATCCAATCATGTTAAAAAGTATACCACTAACTCTAACTTTACTATAAACAACTTATGCATTCACTTAATTGTTAATGTTTTGACAAATGTTGCAAGTAACAATGCAGCTAACTTAAGTTTTGCTATAAATATTATTTGTGGCAAATGCATCTATTTAACTGTAAAATTTATCAAAAGAATTAATATGTGTTTTAATAGTGATGGTATTTGTATATTAAGAAATAGTGAGTTATCGTAACCTATTGCCATTGAAAGTTGTTACTACAAGGTTTAGATTTCTACCAAGACAATAGAAAAAGCTGAAAAAAATTAAAGCAACTATATTTAATGAATTCTTTATATAAGTTTTATAAGAATAGTTTAAATTTAAACAAATAAAAGTTAATATAGTACCAGAAAATTTTCAGATTTTTGCTTCTTTTTTATTTAAAAAAATGTCTTTTTATATTATACATCTTTGTTTTGTATAAATCATTCAATAGTTTATCATTGGAGATTCAGTTGTTTAAAGGGCTTGAAATTAATGGTGGTCTTTGATCCTAAACCACCATTTTATTATCTAAACAGTACATTATGCATGGATTGTTGGTCCCTAGGACTAACAATAATTGTAAAGAAATAGTATTGTTTTGTTTTTTTTATTTGCAATTTTGTTTTGCAGTCTCTGCTGTCACAAAATGGCATGTTTCAGCATACTTGTGAACCACTTAAACCTAAATAATTTATGTGACTGTTCTTCTTTTAAATAGTTTTAAACATTGTGAGGATAATTGTAGATGGATATAATTATTTGTGTTCATAAGTTTGATTCTAATTATTGTAAATACTAACTATTATAAATAGATACCATAAATATATACTATAAATACTGACTATTATAAATATTTTCGTGTAAAAAAATACCTTGTTAAAATTTTATTTTTATTGGTTAAATTTTTCTTAGGAAATTTTTATTTTTGCAACAATGTAGTTTTTAACGATTATGGATATTTGTTTAAAATATCTGGTTTAATTAGCTTAAGGATCACATAATTAAATAAATAGCTTACTATTATAATGTGTTAACTACTACTAGAAAATATGATAAATTGTTGTACAAATTTCTGCTTTAAAATATTATTTGGCAGCTATGTAAAAAAAGCATAATACATAGCTGCTGACTCAACTAAATTTTCCAGTAGATTACTGAATTTTTCCAATTTCTACTGGTTTAACAGAAAATTCTCCTGGTCTTTGTACATTTTAGAAAATTCCCTAAAATTGAGTAAATTTCCTAAAAAATCCCTATTGAAATAGAATTTGGGTACAGATTATTGCTTTCTTGAATATTTAAATAAGTATTATATCTACTAATAGTGAC